GGTCCTCATCCTGTTTTGGGGGTTATCCTCTAACACTATTGTTATTAATGTTTGAGTTATAATCTAACACTAACTATTGTTATTAATGTTACTGAAATTGCTCCAGCTTTGGCCACTTCAGGTTGGCTTCTGTGTCATTTCAGCAAGATCCTGTTCTTCTTCTTCTTTTTTTTTTTCCTGAGCGTTTTTTCTTTCCTTCTGGCACCACAGGATGCACGTGGCTTATCTTTCTGCCCCTGCCCCAGCCCTGGCATCCACCACTGCCCAGGAATCTCAGATCCTCTCGGTGGAGAACGGTATTTGGAATCCAGGACGCTGGGCTTGGCCTCAGCTGCCTCTAGGTTCCCTCCCTCCTCTGTAGCCCAGCGTGTGCCCCTCTTCACAGTCCGCGTTTGCACAGACACCGGCTCTAGCCCAGCTTCTTCCTGGCCTCCCTTCGCGTGCCGCGTCTGGGCCTTCTGTGCAGCACGCTCTGCTGTCATGCGTCTGACGTGATTTCGGAGCTGCCAGCCCACACCTGTGTGAGCAACAGACCCACCACCCAGGCTGGGACGCTCTGTGCATCCTCCCCACCCCGGGCCTAGCATTGCTGGAGCTATCGCTTGGGTCAGCCCTTCTGGCACTGCTGGTCCGGGATGCGGACGTGTCTGCCGGTCCCCTCTGTGCCGGTCCGGGATGCGGACGCATCTGCCGGTCCCCCCGTGCCCCGCCCCGGGATGCGGACACGTCTGCCGTTCCCTCTGTGCTGGGCTCCCCAGGTCTGTGATTGTTGCTTCTTCAATCTGCATGTGATTGTGTTCTACAACTCTAGTACCAAACGGGACAGTCCGTTTCCCCCCAAAACTCCCCAGTCTGCTCCCCAACCCTGGGCCACCATTGATCTGTTTTTGGTCTTCATAGTTTACCATTTCTGGAGTGTCTTAGAAACACAATAGGCTTTTGATTCTGGCTTCTTTGACTTGCAGAGCACCCTTGGGACTCATCCCCATGATCTCTCCTTTTGTTGCGGAGTGGTATGTTGCTGGACGGACGTGCCGGTCACAGGCCTGCCCGTCTCCTTGGGTGTCTCCAGTCCCTTCTGGAGGCTCAAGGGGGCTCAAGGGAAGACTCTGCTTCCCTGCCTGAGTTGCCCACGTTCCTTTGCTCATGGGCCCTTCATCCACCTTCACAGCCAGCCACATCCACGTCTGGCTGCATCCTTCGCATACTCTATGCCTGTGACCCTTTCTTCTGCCTCCTGTGTCCGTCCTTCCTTCCCCCTTCCTGTATGTATTTATCTCCTTACCTGTCTACTTATCCGTCTGTCTAGATGGGGTCTTGCTGTGTTGGCCAGGCTGGACTCAAACTCCTGGGCTCGAGGGATCCTCCTTCCTCTGCCTCCCACAGGCAGATAGAGCACAGGTGTGGCCAGGGCCGCTGGTGTGTACCACCGTGTTTGGCACCCGCTGGGCTGCAGGAATAATCCAGGGCCCTCTCCCCATCTTAGGGTCAGCTGATTGCCAACCTTCATTCCCCTTTACCATGTAAAGGAACGTGTTTGAAGGGGGACACCCCCATCTTTGGGAGGGGGTATTACTCTGCTGAAGACAAGGGTGTGGACAGATGTGCTGTGACCAGGGTGGTTGGGCTTAGGACTTTGTTGTTGTTTACATGGAGGAACTGAAAAGAGCTGGGTGTGCTGCCGGATGCCCCAAGGATCTGGCCGGAGGAGGCAGGTAGAGAACAGGAGTAGGCGTCCAGGCCCCCAGGGCAGGTAGCGGGTGGGCTTCTGTGGTCTTGGGAGGTGCTGGGCCCGGAGGCATCTGCAGGAACCGCAGGTCCCCACACAGTGACGCCGTCTGTCTGTGTGCAGGAGCGGGAGGGGCTGGGCGGGGAAGACGCAGGGTCTGTCTGAGCAGTGACCGTTCGGGAGGGACTTTGTTGTTGCCGTCTCCCCAGGGTGCAGAGGGCGGTGGTGTGGCCATCCTTGCGTTGTGAGTGAGCAAGTGGCCGAGGGGTAGACTTTGGACGGCTCGAGGCGGAACTCGGAAGGAAGCCGCGTACTCCCATAGCTCTGGGCTCTGTTTGTGGCTGTGGCCACACAGGACAGGGCCTCGGGGCAGGGAGGCCAGTGCTTTTGGGAAGGGCCTCCCCCAGCCCTCAGAAGCTTCCCACCCTATTCCCCTTGGGCTGCATCCTTCTTTTTTTTTTTTTTTTTCTGGCTCTGGTTCCTGGCTTCTGTTTGCAAGGCTGGCTGGACACTGCAGCCACCTGGGCTTGCTGCTGTGGCCTGGACGCTGGGGTCTGTCTCTGCCCGATGGTGGTCTGCATACCAGAGCTGAGAAGTGACCCTGTGGTAGGAGGAGGCCTTTCCACCCCGAGACCACAGATTGTCCCTTCAGTAAACAAGCGTTTCTCTGAAATGTGAAATAAATGCTGTATCCACTGGTGATCCATGGTTGTTAGGGATTAAACCGAGTAAACGTAGCTCATTCGGCCGCTCGCTGCTGGCGAGGGGCGTGGAGCTTCTGCAGCATCCCGGGGAGGTCCCGGAATGTGAGTCTGGGCTGTGCTGATGCTGGAGCAGCCGGCGGGGAGAGCTGCTAGGCCACTCCGGACAACCCCGCACCCACTCTGGATGGAAGCTTCTCGCTCCCAGCCGAAACGGGCCTGCTGCCTGCTGCGGGGGCTGGAGGGGCCTGTCTGCTTGAGCTGCAGGGTACCCCGTGCCTGCGTGGCCCTCCTGGCTTTGCCTGTGGTTAGTGGCTGTTTTGGGCTGTGCTGATGGTGTTGTGGGGCCTCCTCTGGGCCTCAGCGCGTCTGAGCTTGACTGGAATGGAAAATGCACCTGGTGGTTTGTATTGTGTTGTTTCTGTTTTGCTTAATTTCATTTGCCATTCTTATTTCCAAAGATGCTTCTACATTTGTGCTATATTTTTAGTTTAACTTCCCACCCTTTCCATCCACGAATTTCTGTTTTTATTGTGGTTCTCGGTGACCACACACTCTTCTCTCTCTCCCCTTCCCTCCCGCTCCCTCCCAGGCAGAGCCTGTGAGACTTGCAGGCATTTCCCCAGAATCGAGGCCCTCTTGGCCATCCAGCTGCTGCCCCACCCAACCTTTGGCCTCCCCCGGGGCTCCTGGTTGGTTGGGCGTCCCTGAAGCCCCAGCAGCAGAGCGCTTGGTCACGAGGCCCGAGTCACAAGCCCCAGCGTCTCCGAGGAAGTGCAGAGTCCGGCCGCAGGGAGGACTTTCTCAACCGGCCCTGGGGCCAGCTGTCCTCCTCCTTGTTTGCTGTGGGCTCACCTCTGTGGGCTGCTCACTCAGACACACTCCCACCCATTTCTCCTGCCTCCTTCAGTCTCTGCCCAGCACCCCGCTGTCAAGCTCCGCCCCCCCATCCCTGATGCTAGACACGCTGGAGGAGACCGTGGCCCCAGAACCTGAGTCAGGAGTGCGAGGCTCTGTGGCATCTTCTGGGCCATCTCCAGGGCCTGGAGCAGGCACCTGTGCCCCGCGCTGGAGGCTGGGGGACAAGTGCTCTCTCTGATAAACGCCCCTGAGTTTCAGCTCTGTGGCTGTAGTTTGTAGGTCTCCTGTCTCAGCATCCCCAAGCCCACACCCTCGGGACTCATGGGGCCGAGGAGGGAGGAGCGCAGAGAACATGAGGATACATGAGCCCCTTGCCTGAGAGGTATGCTGTGAACCCGGAGACAAGGCCAGTGAGTCTGGGTCTGGGGCGACAGTGTGAGATGCAGAACAGGCGGGATGTCGCGTACATTACGGCTGGTGGGGCCGGCGCCTCACACACATGCCCTGGGAGTCAGGGTGTGGTGCTGACAGTGTCTGCGTTGCCAGGCTGGAGCGGGGCTTACTCTCTCTGCGTGGAACCCACACGCTTTTCCTCAGCTGGATGTATCTTTCACATTGAGCTTGTTTAACAGCAGAGCTGGTGAGAGGGCGCACAGCTGGCATCACCACTGTCCCCTGTGCGTGTCCCCGGCATCCTTCATGTGGACGCGGGCCCCGCCCCATGGCTCAGGTCTGTCAGCTTCCCTAGAATGAGGCAGAGCACTTGGCCCCTAGGAGACCTGGAAACCAGGAACCTGGGAGGCGCTGGCGGCTGTGGAGGCCGCTTATCTCCACGTGTCTGGAATTCTGTTTTCCACCTTTTCCCTTTAGGCTGGTGGGAGGCACAATCGCTCACGCCTTCTTTAGAAAGAGTGATCGTCTGCCCTGCCCCAAACGCCCTGTGTTCTGTGCGGCGTCCGACGAGAGTGTTCTGGGTGATTCACAGTAACTAAGCTGGGCGATCTCGCGAGAGGACGTGATGAGGCCCAAGGAGTCTGACGGGGGCCAGGAGAAGCCTTGTCTGAGTGTGGCTCGTGTGGGGGCAGTGCCCTGGCATCCGTGTGTGGTGCGGTGGTTTTCCTGACACTCTCTGGAAGGGGCCTCTGCCAGACACCTGCCTGCAGGGCCTCAGGCCCCTCTGGGCACGCTGGGTGCTCATGCGTTTCTGCAGAGTTAGGCTGTGTGCGCGGCGTGGTCTGCAGGACCGGGACAGCCCCTGCCCTGGGGCATTTCTGTCGGCCACCTTGGTTTGCCACCGCCCCCCCGCGGCTAAACGCTGCCAGTTCTCGTCCTCCAGGGCACCCCATTTCTGTCTTTTCGCTCACTGTACCTCCCCTCCTCCCACTCCGCATCAGCACAGCAGGCCAGGTGCGTTCTGCCCCCAGGCCCTGTCCTCACGGCTCTTTGATCCTGCACCCTTGGTGTGCGCTGTCTCGTGGCTCTCCTTAGAACCAAGGTCAGCCACCCCCAGCTCCCGCATGGCGTCTGGTGTCTTAGGGGTCACATGTGTCTGTCTGCAGTGCCTGGTGCCTCCAGCTGCGTGTTGCTTGTGGGGCGTGTCTGAACCTCAAGTGGGCTTGAGTCGTGAGAGAAAGGCTTTCTCATCGACACTGTGTGGTCTGTACTGTTTTACAGATTTCTTTTTAATTAATCCTTTCTCTTTTTCACAGCGCACTGGTGATCGCCGCGGTGTTTGACCGAGATATAAACTGCAGAAGAGCAGCCTCTGTAAGTTTTCTCATTTTGATATTTCCTTTCATGAAGGTAGGGGGTGGACCTGGTCTCCCCGATGCTCCTCTGTTTGCTGCCACCTGGCCAGCTCACCCGTCAACAGCAGGAGCCGCGAGGGAGCTGCCGAGAGTGCCAGCTGCAGGCAGCCCACTGGTTCTTACTGTCTCTGGGTGTCGGGGAGGGCCGTGGTCTTCAGCGTGTGAAGGGCGGTCAGGGTTAAGTCCCCACACCCCAGGCATCCCCAGAGCTGCAGCCATCACTGCTGGGGGTTGCTGGGCGATGTAGGCGAGTGGGACGGTGCCCAATGACAGGTCTCAGTGCAGGCAGCTGCGCGCTGAAGACGCGAAAGAGAGTGGGTTCTGCGAGGGTGGCCAGAATGTGGTGGCAGGATGGTCACTCACCAGGTGACTTTGAGCCTCAGGAGGGACTGTTGCGAGCAGTGGTCAGCTCTGCTTCACCCGGCCACACTTGCCTGGGCCTTGCTGGATGTGGGGCCTGCAGGACTGGGTGCGTCTTGATCACAGATGGCTGGTTTCCTCTGTGACGTTTGGGGTGAATTCTCAGTGTGAGGAGCGGTAGCAAGTGCTGCCACGCTGACCAGACTACTTCATTTGGCTCGGAGCTGGGCTGGAGTGAGTCCTGAGTCTCTTGGGACCACAGAGAGCGGGCAGCTGAGACGGTGGACCAGTCTCAAGATGAGAGTCTTGATTTCAGATACAGATAAGATGCTGAACACGTTTTAAGAGGGTAAGAACGGAGAGGCAGCACTTTGAGAAAGAGGGAGGGGTGAGGTTGGCTTTTGGTGATGGGGTGAGCGCATCCTCACGGGCTCGAGCTGCTGGAACTCTGTGTCCAGGCTCAGCATCGTTGGCTTAGTGGGAACCTGTTGAGGGAGCCGTTCACGCTTCCGTTACTGTCAGACTCGGGGGCCGGTGGGCCAGGTGGAAGGGGTGCTGGGACTGGTGAGGATTTCCTGTCAGCCCTGCAGTGTGTGGGACTGTGCAGGTGCAGAGCTGGTTTTCTCTCTCACGTGCAGGAGCTCGGATGATGCCTTTAAGTCTTTCTAGTCATCTTGTGTAGCTTGTGGTGGCCTCTGCCTGCCGTCTGTGTCCTGAAGTGGTGAGAAGTCTTTCTCTGCCTCAGGTCCTTAAAAACTGGAGAGAATTCAGCAGGAGAGCTCAGAGGCTCTTCTCTGTCCCTGAAGCTGCTCCTATTTTGTCTTCAGTGTCAGTAGAAAACCTCATAATTTTTTCGGGAAGTCGTCACATTTTTGCCCTGATATTTACCCAGAGGCAGTAATTGTAAGACTTTGAAATATAATAAAATTTTATGTTAAATCTGTACTTAAACATAAGCTTTTAGATTTTCTTTACTGCAACCTAAGACATTTCATGGGAAGCAGTAATAAAATTACTTAGGCTTCTGTGAACCCTGAATATGAGGTGAAATAATATAAATCATTTTTTCACATTAAAATCCCTTTAAACTGGCAATAAATCTTTTATAATAAATACCACCAGAGTGCACCTTGCTTACCCAGTAGCTTGCAAAATTAAAACAGCCAAAGGTAAAAGATTCCCTGTTTGAAGCCTATTAGGAAATGTGAGGATCGAGGGCCTCAACATTGGGAATCATTTTTTCCAACTGTGGAGCTGCTGCTTTCAGATAAAGATGTCTCGGTCTTCCTGGCTCCGCTGGGTTCCTGTTCCTCGCTGTCTCACTGGCTGAGGTCACCCCTGGGGGCCCCGAGGCCTCTTCAGCACCGGCCAGGAGGCAGCAGTGAAAGGCATTGAAGTCCCGTCCCTCCTTGGGGCTGGACGCGGTCCCTTGCCCCTGAACTCTAGACGCCCTGCATCGCCTTGGTGCTCCCATGTCGAGATTGGCCACGGCAGCAAAGGCTGCGGTCGTGCATCCCGCGGTTCGTGACCCTCCCAGTGACACGGTGAGGAAGGTGCTGCAGCTGGTTCTCAGCACTGGCAGGAGCGCGGCGACTCAGGCAGTCAGCGTGTGAGTGAGTTTGTGAAAACCGTTCCAGCTGTGTTTGTTGCTGAGCGCTGGTTTTTCTGCACATTGGAAGGAGTCTAGCAGGCCCCCAAACGTGTTGACGTTGCAGAAAGACGTGTCCCTGCCGGGAAGGAAGGGGCAGTAGAGACGGGGTGGTCGTGGCTTCTTGTTCATCACGAGGAAGGGGGGTGGGGATGGGGCCCCTGTTCACTGACAGTTAAAGTAAAGGCACTTAAAGCCCCCATTTAACTGAAAAGATTTTAAATCTTTTCATCCAGCATTTCATTGGATATTTAGTGTCTGACCTCTATTTGTGACTTTTTATTTTGGGATAATTGAGATTTATATGCAGTGCGTCCCTTCCTTCCCTCCCTTCTTCCCTCCTTCCCTTCTTCCCTTATTCCCTCCCTCCCTCCCTCCCTTTTTCCCTCCCTTCCTTCCCAGTGCAGTGGTGCGATCTTGGCTCATTGCAACCTCCGCCTCCCCAGTTCAAGCAATTCTCCTGCCTCAGCCTCCCGAGTTGCTGGGATTACAGGTGCCCACCACCACGCCTGGCTACTTTTTGTATTTTTAGTAGAGACAGGGTTTCACCATGTTAGCCAGGATGGTCTCGGACTCCTGACCTCAACTGATCTGCCCGTCTCAGCCTCCCAAGGTGCTGGGATTACAGACGTGAGCCATTGCACCTGGCAGAGATTTACATGCAGTTTTAAAGACTAATGCAGGGAGAGCCCATGCGTGTTTCACCATTGCCTCCATGATAAAATCTGGCAAAAGCGCAGTGGAACATCGCAGCCTAGACATGAACATTGAGCCAACCCGCCAGCCTTATTCCTACTTCCTTGGTTTTACCCGTACCCGTGTGTGTGTACATGTGTGCGAGGGCACGTGTGTGCGTGTATGTGCACGTGTGTGCGCGTGTGTGCGTGTGTGTGTGCGTGTGTGCACCATGCACGCTCACGCGTTTAGTTCTGTGTGATTATATCACATACAAATTCATGTATCCACTACTACAGTCAGGATACAGAGCAGCCCCGTCTCCCCGAGAGGCCCTGTGCTCCTGCTTTGCCCACAGCCCCTGCTGTTTCCGTCTCCTGACCCTTGGCAGCCACTGGTCGGCTCTCCGTTGCCTATTCTGTCATCTCGGGAATGCCGTGTAAATGAACTCTGTGGCCTCCGAGGCTGTAGCTTTCTTCTCTCGGCACAGCTCTCCGGAGACCCACCCCGAGCTTCTGTTGCTGAGGGGTGCCGTGGTTTGTGTGACCGTTTATGTGTTAGGGCATCAGGATGGTTTCTGGTCTTTAAGCTGCTGTAAACGTTCGTGCTTAGGTTTTCGTGTGAGTGTAGCTTCCGTTTTTCTGGGATAAATGCCAGGAGTAGTTTCTGGGTCGTGGTAGTTGGACATTTAAACTGCTTTCTAGAGCAGCTGCTCCATTCACGTTCGCACCACCACCTGTCAGCAGCCCTGCCTTTCTCTGTCCTCGCCTGCGTCTGATGTGGCCACCGTTTTTTGTGTCGGCCTTTCTGACAGGCGTGTGGTGATGTGTTCTTGTGGGCTTTGCCTGCGCTTCTGTCATGCCTGGTGGTGCGGAGTATCTTTCACGGGCTTACTTGCCATCTGTACCTCCTCTTTGGTGAAATGTCTGCTCAGGTCTTTACTCATTTTCTAAGTGGATTGTTTTTTGTTGTTGAGTTTTGAGCACTCTTTACATATGTGGGATTCTGGTCCTGTGTTGGATTTGTGTTTGGCTCTCTGCCAGTCTGTGGCTCAGTTTTCCATCCTCTTTAATAGGGCGGAGTTTTTAATTTTTTAATTCTGCTGGGGTCTTGGTCAGTTTTTTGTTTTTGTGGATCATGTTTTAGTGCTTTGTAAGACATGAAGACTTTCTTAAGGTCTGGGAACTCCGCCTCACCGGGTCCCAGGGATGCTGTCCCGTGTGTTCTGCTCTGCTGGTTGGTCTGCGTGTCTGTTCTGCCAGCGCGCACCGTGTGACAGGCTGTGCTGCGACGCTGCTGCGCGTCGTCAGCCTTCGCACTGGGTAGGGCGATGCCTCCCAGCGTCTGCTTTTTCAGGATTGTTTTCCCTGTTTTAAGGCTTGTGCTTTTCCACAAAAGTCTTGAATTTTTAAAACATCTTTTAGATACCACTGGAATAGTACATGTGTTCCTAAATAGTGTGTGTTAAATTAACATCAGAGTATATCTTTGTTGCGTTGCCTTTTGGCGGGTTTTGTTTCTTACTTTCCCATTGAATTTATCTCAAAAGTCACAAAATGGCAAACGGCAGCAGTCAGGCCTCTTCCCTCCCGGTGTAAGAGCTGCACGGGAGCCCGCCGCGAAGCACCTGTTTCCGCCCATCTCCAGCCCAGCCCAGGGGTCTGCCTTGGAACCACCTGCATGTCTGGCTTCTGTGTGACTGGCCAGAGGTGGCGGGTGCGTCTGTTCCTTTTCCCTGGGGTTGGGGGCACAGACCCTGGGTGGCTGTGTTTCGGTTCCTTACCTGGTGCCCGTCTGTGCGCGCACCTGCCAGCAGCCCTCACTCGGCCTTGCTCTCAGGAAGCCCCCAGGTGAGCGTTGGCAGGAATCCTGCTGGGCAGGAGGTCGCCTCTCCAGCGCGTGCTCCCTGAAGCCGCCAGCCTCCCTGACCTCCCCCGTGCTGGTGGTGTGTGTGGTGTGGCCGTGTGTGGTGTGGCCGTGTGTGGCGTGGCCGTGTGTGCACTTTGCTGGGTCTTCCTGGGATGCTGAAGTCTGCTGTGTCTCCAGCCCCGAGAACTCTGAGCCCAGGTGCTTTTGGGAAGGACGGGGCCCCAGCTGGTGACACATGGGAAGGGAAGTGTGTTTGTCACCTTGCCCAGGTAACCTGCTCTACCTGGTTGGTGCGCCTAAGGAGGGCAGGGTGTGTGGGGAGGACATGAGAGGCCTCCTGGAAGCACTTCATCCTGTTGAAGTTCACATTTCAACCTTTTCAGCAGCCCCTGCTCTGGGCCTGTGCCCGGCCTGGGACTCGGCCTGTTGACACCGTGCCATGGGTGTGGGCAGAGCGCCCTCCCTGGAGGGCGGCACGCGGTGCCAGTTGGTGACCATGAGCTGCCTCACAGAGCTCCTGAGGAAGAGTGTTGGGGCTCTGGGCTGTGAGTTAACAGCTGGGGCCTCCGCGTGGTGCTGCTGGGAGGCTCAGTGGTAAAGGCCAGTTTTCAGGATGTATCTGAGTTTATAAACTTGAATTCTTAAATTGTGGTTTTAAAGAGCACTAGGACGTAAAAACAGAGTGACACACCTTGAGGCTCTGTTCAGCCAACAACAAGGGCTTTTATTTAAAAAATAAAGCCGTGGGTCATTGACGTTGCGCTGTTTGTTCTGAACTTGCCTCTGGTGTTGGCGGAAGCTGACCTCGCTTACCTGCTGTGTTTGTTCTTTGCTCCGCAGGCCGCCTTCCAGGAGAATGTGGGGAGACAGGTATGGCTGCTTTTAAACACCTTTATTCCAAAAGCTTCCTGCAGGTTTACAGGTAGGAATCTGGAGAGCCATAACCCCGGTGTCTTTTCGCACTGCGAGGTGTGCCGTGGCTACATCAGCGGCAGGGTCACCGGGAACCTGCACGTACAGCAGTTTGCACACACAGGCCGGAAAGCTGTGCTTTACGTGTTGCCAAGGGCCACATAATGTGACTCTGCAGTGGGGGGCGGGTCCCTGGGAACAGGCTGGCCTTGCAGGGACGCAGACCTGACCCCGCCTCATCCCACACAGAGCAGGAGCTGACTCTGTTGACGTCAGCGCGTGCCTCATCCGGACTGTAGGCGGGCCCAGAAGCCAGCTCCCAGGAGCTGTGGACCCCACGACCACTCATCATGCTGGGGCTGCTTTTGCTGTGCCCTCTGACCCTGACATCTGGTCACTGGTCAGCTTCACCTGTGAATGGGGGCCCAGGTTATTCTTGTTGTGTGTGATGACGTCACATCTTGGGTGTGTGGTCGGGCCTTGCAGGAGAGTGGGACAGAGGCCGGAGAGCGGACCAGGGTCTGGGCTGGACCTGGGCAGGAAGCAAGGTTCCCAGAGAAGTCAGCCGAGAAGGTTCTGGAGTTCCCAGGCAGCAAAGCAGATGCAGTCGGGGTCTGGGCTGTGGCTGGGTCGTGTGGGGTGGATGGTGTGCATGTGGCCTGCGGACCTTTCTGACCTGTGGGGAACCCTCCAGGCAAAGGTGTCCGACTTGGAGTGGAAGCATCAAGGCCAAATGAGTCCAGAGGAAAAGCCGGACGCCAGAGTCAGCTGGAGAGGCGGGCGGATGAGGACTTGTGCATGTTATTGAAATGGTTCTCGAGGAGCCTGGCATGAGTGGTGTGGGCGGCTTTCTGTAGACAGAGCCCAGGAAGGGGCGTGACTTCCTCTTGTTGGCCCGAGGTGGCCGAGGCCCACCCAGTGTCCTTGGGGTGCCGTGGGGTCTGCACGTGTTCAGAGCCCTGAGCCCTGGTAGGAGCCAGTTCATTAGGAAGAGACACCAGCCTTGGAAGGGGAGCCTGGGTGTGCAGACAGCAAGAGCCGCACAGGCCGAGGAGAACATGAATGAGGTTTGGGCTTTTGAGTGGAGAGTGCGGCTGCTGTGAGTAGGAAGGAGCTTCTTAGAAACCACTTAGCTGAGCTGACGGACTTGCTTCCTGGAAAGTGACAGCCCAGGAGATGTCGTCTCCCTGTTCCTGGGCTTCCAACCCCTCCAGAGCCCCCGCCGGAGGGGGGCGTGCTGAGGCCAGAGCCCGGGGTGGCGACCACGCTGTGTGGGCCTGGGGCACACTCCACCGTCACACTCTGTTCCGGGTTCCCAGATGCCGCTTCCTGGGAGGAGCAGATGGGTCGCGTAGGGAGCCACGGGGCCCTGCAGCTGAGCTGACTGGCTTCCCTGTGTGTGTGGCTAGATTTGAGCCCCGTTACCTTTGTCGGGGCAGCTTAGGTTGGGGATTGATTGACAGGGAAAGGAAAGGCCTTTAAACTTGGTCTAAATTAAGGCAAGCAGCCAAAAAATGGGATATTCCCGTGGGTTCAGGAGTCTTGCACCTCAGTCCTGAGCCTGAGCCCCGTGAGTCTCAGAGCATCCGGCACAGTGACCAGCATGCGGATGGTAGCGGGAGCCTCGTGGAAGAAGCTGCACAGACTCTGAAGAGACACAGACTTTGACAGGAGTGTGAGATGTGCAGGTCCAGAGTGTCCCCGGCCCGCACGGCCACAGACTTTGACAGTGTGAGATGCGCAGGTCCGGAGTGTCCCCAGGCCCGCACGGCCACAGACTTTGACAGGAGTGTGAGATGTGCAGGTCCGGAGTGTCCCTGGGCCCACACGGCCACAGACTTTGATAGGAGTGTGAGATGCGCAGGTCCGGAGTGTCCCCGGCCCGCACGGCCATGTCCTGCTGAGGTTGGATAGAAACATTTGAGAAGAAGGTCGAGAACTTGGCAAAGCAAATGGGAGCAGACATGTTATGTAGCACGCAGGGAAGCAGCCTAAAAACCCTTGGATGTGGAGAAGGCTGTTTCTAATACACAGATCTGGAATGAAGTTGTAAGAAACGCATTTACAGTAGAGGCTTCTGGGTAACAGCAGCAGAGATGGGGGGTGGTTGGGGAGCGCCCTGGGGGACACGGAGGGGGCTGGGGGCAGAGACGAGGGACCAGCTTCTCTGTCCAGGCTCATCTTGGCTGGAGTTGGAGACTCTGGTCCTGAGTGGTCTCTGCCTTCTCCCCACTGAGCCCGGGGGCTCTTGAGCAGGTGGTGACTAACCCATGGGCAACTTCCATGTCCAGGGCCTGCCAGACATGCCAGCCCTACGACCCTGCTCCTAGGCGAGTGCTGTCCGGGCCCCCAGCACCATCGGGCCCTCGTGGTGGCCTGTCCACACCCAGGCCCCCAACTTCCTCTCTGCACAGGTGGGGAAGTTGAGGCTCAGGGCAGCTGAGCCCACCTTTGTCTGCCGGGAGCCTGTTGTTCCAGCTCCAGCCTGGCCAGACAGAGCCTTGGCCCCTGTGTTGGTCTTGCTTTGTTCTCACCGTGGGGGGGATGCTGGTCACAGAGTCCCCTTGTTCTTGTTCTCAGTGAGACCTGGTCCTGGGCCACCCCGGACGTTTCCCTGGGCTCCTGCCTGCTGTAATGTGGGACATGGAGTTGCACCCCAGTGGGCGACATCCCAGGTTGTGGCACCTGCTGTCTTTCCGCAGAGTGAGCTGCGACACCTCCACTCGGGTGCCGGTTTCTCCCCTGTTCCACGGTTCAGTGAAGGACACTCGTGCTGTCACTGATTCCAGCAGCCTCAGGCAGAAGTGTCCGGTATCTCCATCAGCCCAAGCTCCCAGTGTAACCCTTGGGAAGGATTTGCTGGGAGAAAGCCGCATGGTACCTGCTCATTCCGGCTCTCCTGGCGGGAAGCATGGATGTGGCCCTGGGTGTTCTCAGGAGAGCTGGCTGTTCAGCTACTTTATTTGCGAAGCGATGACACGGACGAAGGTGTGAGGTTTTCATGATGAAGTGCAGGGTGGTGATGAGTGTTTTAAAGTCAAGGAGGGATCTGGATCCCAGCCTCAGAGGTGGGCAGGCCTGGGAGGCCTTTGAAAAACCCTGCTGCGGTTTATAGCTGTAAGGCTTTCTGTGTTTGGTTCAGAGTTTGTCATTTGTATTTTCTTAGGAAATTATTTATGTTGTTTCCAGAATTTCAAATCCTGGAACCTGAGAGTGGTCTCAGTAACACCATGCAGCCTTCGGGGCTGGAGCTGGGGCTCCACTGGGGCTCCACTGGGAGACTGTCGTGGGGTGGGAGGAGGTCCGCCTCTCCCATGTCAGAGCCTTGGGGGCTTCTGGTCCTCGGTGCTTCTGGGGTCAGCTGTCACCACCCCCCAGAACTGGCTGGGCCGGCTGCCCCCAGTCAACGTCCTGCCCGCCCAGGACAGCCGAGCGAGGCCTGGGCTCTGGTCCAGGTTTCGCAGACTGGGCAGGCGGCTGCATCCCCGACCTGACCCAGGCCTGCTTGCTCTGGTGTGCACTGACCTGCCAGCTTTGTGGCATGGGGCTCGGGCTGGTGGAGGTCAGTGGCTGGAACACTGTTGAAACCTGAAGCCCATTTACGGTGTATGTTTTAAGGAAAGGTCTCCTACAACATACCGAAGTGGAAACGTTTGAGTTGTTTGAAAACGATGAAATCCTTGTGAGTGGTTTCAGTCGTTGGGCGTGGTGTGGTCTAGGGAGCCCGTCAGGAAGTCAGTGTGGCGTGGAAGTCCTCGGTGAGCAGTGTCTGTGGTGTGTGGCTCGCTTGCCACCTGCCTCAGGGCTCGGGGTTCGTGAGTGTCAGTGTCTGTGGATATGATGATGGAACTTGGTAAAATGCCTTTGCTCATTCAAATTCTTCTTTTTCCCCCAATTTCACTTTTTTATTAGGGCACTTTCCCGCATGGGATTGATATTTTGACCACAGCCGACTATTTTGCTGTCGGTAACAGAACCAACTGTTTCCTGGTTATAAGGTAAGTTTTTAATGTATATCACAAAAATAGAATATCCTAAAATCAGATTGGATGTCAAAAATCAGCTTCCACCATTTTCTTTTTTCATCCTGTAATGTCCACTAAATGTAACGTGGTTTTTGTGTGAAAAATTAAAAATGGAATTGGGACAGTTATCGAAACTTGTGTTTCATGTTGATTGGACTCACCTCATGCTTTACTCGGTAGATGGGAGACATTTACTCAAGTGTTAAAGCGGGGCTCAGCTTCAGGAGTGCGGCCTTGCCGTGAGTGCTGTCCCTGCTTATGATTTCTCTCCTGGTCGCCCCGTTTTACCCGTGCTGCTTCTGTGCGGGGCTTGGAGTTTGACAGGAAGCAGCTGCAAGCACGGCCGCGCCTCCTCCTGACACTTCCCTACTGGATGTCCTAAATGCTTTCCCAGTTTGAAATCTTGGATTAGAAGGGACTGTTTCTTTTTCTGTTTCGGTGCTAGAAAGTGTTTTGAAGTTGAAGTTATCTGTAGATTGTTTATGAAATGAGTAGGAGGTATTTTAGAAATCAGGTTAGAAACAAATATTTAGCACCTCTAATTGCAGTTTACAGAATTATATCACATTTTTGTAGTTGTATAATTAGGTACTGGGGAGGTTACTTCAGTTGTCTTAGTTGATCCATCGCGGCAGATATGCGAGAAAGGATGTGACTTTATTTATTTTTGGAGGTGGAGTCTAGCTCTGTCGCCCAGGCTGGAGTGCCGTGGGGTGTGACTTTATGAAGTGATTTATTTGCCTTAAATTAGGACAAGAAGCATGCCTGATGCATGTTTAACATTATTAACCATTAAATACCTTAAAGATCGATTCCCCAATAGCCCTGCTGTGTAGACCGTGCAGAAAGGACGTTTCTCCATCACCAGCCTGGGCAGAATTTTCAAAATGTAGTGTTTGAACCTCTTTCCCAGAAACGATCTTTGAACACATCTATCTGTATTTTTATATCCTTTCAGTTTTCCTCAACATTTAATGTCCTTTTTTGCCTTATCAGTTCTTTCCTATTAATACTTGGCCATATATTTTATGTGGAAAATCTACTGGCCGGGTGCAGTGGCTCACGCCTGTAATCCCAGCACTCTGGGAGGCCAAGGCAGGTGGATCACCTGAGGTCAGGAGTTGGCGAAACCCCGTGTCTACTAAAAATACAAAAATTAGCCAGGCGTGGTGGCAGGTGCCTGTAGTCCCAGCTACTCAGGAGGCTGAGGCAGGAGAATCACTCGAGCCCAGGAAGCGGAGGTTGCAGTGAGCCGAGATTGCGCCACTGCAGTCCAGCCTGGACAACGGAGTGAGACTCCATCTCAAGAAAAGGAAAATCTACTGCCTTTTCCCGAGTTTCCTGGGTAACATACCTGACAGCTAATGGAAACTTCAGCATGTTTCCCTTGTTGCTGAGGTTTCTAAGCCAGCCTAAAACTCGCATGTAATTAGCTGTGTGCGTTTTATAAAAACATTTGCCAACACGAGACCTGGGTCCAGGCATGTCTTCCCTCAGTGTGTTTGGCTTCCTCACAGTGCCAGGCCCTGCGTGCCGACCAGATGCCACCTTGTGAGGACACACCGGCAGGCAGGCCCCTCCAGTCCTGAGTGTGGCATCGTGGGGACCGGCAGTTGTGGCTGCACCCTAGCACCACGGGGCCCCCTGTACCCGAGGCGGGGTCCTGCTGTCAGCCTGGACCTTGGGGTGAGGGAGGCAGTGGTCCTGTTCAGCAGAGGGCATGGGATTGGGCACAGCCCAACAGGGAGGAGAGTTAACAGGGCCCTGGGCCCTGGTGGGGAGCTGTTGGGGGCCTCTGAGCCATAGTGAAGAGTGTGGATTGTCCTGAGGTCCTGGCACTTTGATGGTCAGGTCTGTGTTTTGAATATATCACTGTGGCAGTATTTGGTGACTGGAAATAAGGAGAGGGCTTGGGGGCTCTCGGGAAAGGGGAGAGGGTTGGGGGCCTGGAGGTGTGCCCACTGGAGGAAGGTGGGAGTCGCCAGGGCATTACACAAGGTCTCAGGGCAGTGTTGGCATCGCTCCGCAGGTGGAGGGCACAGCCGAGGGCGACAGTGTCGTTGAGTGTGAGGAGGTCGGGGCTCAGCTTACACGTGCCGGCCTGTGAGGAAGCTTCAGCCGTGCTGACACGGAGATGTTTCCTCTGCAAATTGGAGTTTCGGACACACAGACTGGAACTGAACTAATGGAAGGTCCCCCAGGAAGACTGTCAGGCGAGACGAGGTGGATGGGGGAACCAGCTGTCGCCCCACTCTCCTGTTTATCGTCACAGCCGCGTTGAGGATTTTGTAAATGTTAACACCTGTAAATTCGTACCTGTCACCACAATCAAGACGAGAAAAGACCCAGGTTTCCCCTTGCCCTTTTGGGGTCCCTCCCCTCCCACCCCCTTCTTCAGGCAACCCTGATTTGTTGCCGTCACTGCAGCTGTGTCTGCGTTTCCCGAAGCTCTGTGTGAATGGGTTCAGGCAGTGGGCACCCTCCTCACTCACACTGGCTTCCTCCGCCCCGTGTGAATGGTGTGAATGGGT